TTCCTTCCTTCCTTCCTTCCTTCCTTCCTTCCTTCCTTCCTTCCTTCTTTCTTTCTTTCTTTCTTTCTTTCTTTCTTTCTTTCTTTCTTTCTTTCTTTCTTTCTATCAACCATAGTTTTGCTAGAATGAAAGCTTTGTGCTCTGGTTTGGCTTTGCGATTCAAATCGCAATTTATAGCTTTCTCCAATATTTAATATGTGCCGACTATGTTGCTGATAGAGGCAAAATGGAAACAATACAGTCCTGCAAACTTTTAGGATGATGCAAAGTGCCCAGGCAGAGATCAGAATCAGTTTGAGATTAATATGATGCCATCAAATTGGGCTCGGTTATTTACAGAGCAAATGTATTTGGGGGGGGGGGGGGGAAACTGTGATAATTCAGAAAAATAACAATAACAAAAAATAACTTCATCCCCCCCCCCCCCCCCAAAAAAAAAAAAAAAAGCACATAACCACATTAGGTCAGTGGTGGGCAGATGCTTTGTTTTTAAAATTGAGATATACCCTACTTTTTATGGCTACAATTCTGTTTTCCCATGTTTTCCCATAAAATTGGCAGGAATTGTTTTTAGTTTTCAGTACACCTCATTATAGGCCTTCTGATGACCACATGTTGCTGAGCCCTGAATGAAAAGATGATAGGACTGGCATTTGTTTGTTTGTTTGTTTGCATAAGATTCTGTGACAGCTGCTATCTGGATTACGCATTTGTAGAGCTACATGTGCAATAATGTCATCTAGTATGATATGGTCATACCTTGTAAAAAGAGGTGTGTAGGATACGTTATTCTTCATGTTATGGATAGTCCTTGACTTATAACCACAGTTGAGCCCAGAATTTCCATTGCTAAGCAGTTGTTAAGTGAGTTTTTGCCCCTTTTTCGACACAGTTGTTAACCAAATCACTGCAGTTAAGTCAATCATCTGATAGTTAAGTGAGTCGGGCTTCCCCTGCTGACTTTGTCAAAATCCAGCAAGGAAAGTTACAAATGGTGTTCACATGACCCTGGGACCATGTATTCTATACAAATAAATTACTTTTGAGAACCTAAAGATCCTTTACCAATTAAAATGGATGTTTCTGGGGTATTCAGATCAAATTAGCAGATGTGATATATATATGTATGTATGTATGTATGTATGTATTTATGTATGGTATTCAGCTTTGTTCGGGTATTTTCCCACGTCATTATAGTTGTGCTGTTAAAGTTGTAGCGACTATTCTGAAACAAAATATACAAAGCTGCTTCATTATATACCATTATATACCATGGTTATCTGCTCCCTAAGTTGGTCCTACAGATCTTCAAACTATGCACCCATTAACATTGGTGGCCATCTCTTCTTCCCTTTATCTTTCACCTTTCCCATTATTAGAGCCTTTTCCAAAGAACTAAGCCTGTGCATCCTAAGTAAGATAATTTTAGCCTGGTCATTTGCGTTTTGAGTGAGAATTCTGTGTTCATTGTCCATTGATCCATTTGTTCCTTTTCTGTTGTGGCCTGTCGGCCGCCAGCCCCTCCAGTAGCTGATTCAGAGGAGGAGGAGGAGGAAGGGTGGGAGTCAGGTTCAGCATCAGGGCAACCTGGGAACTCCAAGGGGGAAGATGGAATGGAACTGTCAGAGAGACAGACAGAGGCAGAGCCTGGGCCGTCCGTCAAACCTCAGATGGAGAGTCAACAGCCTCCAGGTCTGGAGGTGGCTGATGAGGAGGAGGAACAGCTGGGTGCAGTGCCTGACGCGTAGCTGCGCAGAGGAGAGGAGAGCAGTGGAAATCCATGGGCCGGTCCTTGGGAAGGAAGAGCCACCGCTAATAGCGAAGCTCTGGGGATAAAAGGCAGGGGGCGGAGATGAATAGATGTGGCAGACAACTATTTGTCTTTCGGCCGGCCGGATTTGTCAACCTGAGAGAGAAACTTTTTGCCGTGGCTGCCGACACTCCTAATAAAGGAATCTTTTGAGTTCACGTCAGAGGGTTTGTCGTGTTTGGGGAGCTGGGTCAGAACATTATGGGTTTTTTTTTCAAATAATTTTATTAAGAATTATAAATGAAGAGAATAAAAGTACAAAAAAACTACATGCCAGTTGTCACCTGAATTTTGATCACAGGACCATGCGGATGCTGCAAGGGTGGAAAACGGCCATAAGTCACTTTTTTCAGTGCTCTTGTACTATTAAATGGTCCCTAAACGAAAGATTGTAAGTCGAGGACTACCTGTATTTGTGTTGTGTTCAGAATATAATACCCAGTATGGTAATGATACGCAAGCTTCCTTTTCGATCCAGTTGGATGAAGGAAAAAATGTTCCTCTCCAAAAAGTATTTTTTTCCAAAAAGCCACTGGATTTTCTTGTTTTGTTTTGTTTTGTTTTTCTATGAAAATGTTTTGCTTCTCATCCAAGAATCTTCTTCAGTTCAGACCTGAAGAAGCTTCTTGGATGAGAAGCGAAACATTTTAAGTCCAGTTGCTTTTTGGAAGAAGCATCTTTGGGAGAAGCAATGACCTGGATGATTTGAGAATATTCTTAAATGAGAAGTCCTCTTTTTTTATCAGACAGATTTATAGCTCATCTGGACTAGCTGACATATAATTATTAGGGCAAAAAAATATTCTGGAAAAAAATATTGCTGTGATGCTTGTAAAAATAAGAGAAAGTGCAAGTTAGTATGGAAAAGAAAAAAATTAAGACATTTACAGTAGTACAAACATCATTGTATATTAATAGATGAAGTTTATGATTATTTGAACTTGAAATATTCAGTACTTAGTTCAACTCTTTGAAAGAAGAGTCTAATGCTGTCATTTTTCCTTGTCGCCTTTAGACATGCGTATCATTCAGTGTCAGCAGCATCTTCAGTGTTTCCTTCCAAAAATGCCACTGATGCGAAGTTACACAAAGGAACTATACTACTGCAAAATCTGGATGCCGTTATTATCCATCCTGGAGCTATGCTGGCTATGCTGGATCTTGTGGTCTCTGTTGGATCAACTATACAGCCAGAAGTGAGAGTCTTAATATTGTGTATCATTCCAATAATTTCTATAATCTTACGATTTATATTGACTGTTTCCTAGTATGATTTGATTGCTTATTGTACCCTATGACTATTATTAAGTGTTGTACCTTATGATTCTTGACTCTTGATGAATGTATCTTTTCTTTTATGTACACCGAGAGCATTTGCACCAAGACAAATTCCTTGTGTGTCCAATCACACTTGGACAATAAAGAATTCTATCTATCTATTCTATAAACCAGAGGTCTTCAACCTTGATCACTTTAAGATGTGTGAACTTCAATCCCCAGAATTCCCCAGCCAGCATGATGCAAGTTGAAATCCACTCATCTTAAAAGTGGCCAAGGTTGAGAAACAATGCTATAAACATAGTGAACTTAAATCTTAGGACATATTTACTTTCTGGAATCTATTAACACTACTAGTTCAGTTTATCCAAGAAAGTTTGTATTTTGATTGGCACCTGGAACAACATGGTTATACACTGACATGATGTTTAGAGGAAAAAAAGTTAATTATCCTATTGGTTTTCCCCAAAACATCTCCTTCCAGGTGTTGTCCTATGTATTTTCAATATGTGTTGGGAATCTGAGTCTGCCTGTTTTACTTAGAGTTAATGTCATGGCTGGTAACCAGCATAAAATTCCCATTTCTGATCTATATCTATTGTTCGAGTAATAATGTACACTTTAGAACAGAAGTGCCAAATTCGGATTTCATTGAGGGCCACATCAGGGTTATGTTTGACCTCGGGGGCCTGGGATGGGCCTGGGTGGGTAGGCGTGGCCAGGGTGGACATGGCCACCTCGACGTCACTCATGTTGGGGGCACCTATGAATAGAATAGAATAGATTTCTTTATTGGCCAAGTGTGATTGGACACACAAAGAATTTGTCTTGGTGCAAATGCTTTCAGTGTACATTAAAAAAAGATACATTCATCAAGAGTCAAGAATCACAAGGTACAACACTTAATAGTGTTATAGTTGACAATAGAGAGAAGGGAGGGGAGTTTCAAAAAACAAGCAGCAGTGTGGAGTCGAAAGTACATTCCATTCGTATTTTCTTCAAAGACTGATTAGATAACTGAAGCTTCTGCCATGCAAAAATTTAATTGGAGAGCATGACTGATGACTCTTGGCTATTGTTTTTCATTGGATGATACACAGTGGGGGGGAGCAGAATCAGGGGTGACAGTGAATTACGTATCTCAGAGTTGGCTACGCCCAGGTAAATGCCAGAGGTAGAATGTTAACTTCAGATAAATCTTTTTTTAGTTTTGGGAGTGTGGCTCGAGGCTCATGATTTAATTGGAGTAACTGCCGGAACCCTGACAAACAGTTTATATCCGGGATGTGAGGGGGTCTGTAAATATTTTCAGTGGTGGCCAATGTTAAGGCAAGACTTATTTATGTCCCTTATAATATGTCCCTTACTGCATGCTCAAATGCAAAAGAGAAATGCAACTTTTCTCCTTTTGTTTTGTTTTTAGTTTGTTTTGCTAGCCCTTTGCCAGTGAAAACGTAGCTTGGGGGGGGGGACATACATGCCCCCGCCAGCTCCATCTTTGCTGCCAGAGGGCTAGAGGAGGCCATCACGACCAAAAATGGATCCTGGGAAGGCTGTGCGCGGGCCTCTCCAGCTCCATTTTCTCTGGCAGAGGCACTGTGGGCCAGTCCTCCGCTGTTTCCAGGGTGGCCCCGCAGGTCAGATCTAAGCACCCCACAAGCCAGATCCAGCTTCCTGGCCTTGAGTTTGACAATAATATACAGGTAGATATTCAAACACAGTGTTTTTGCTTTATGTATTTATAGCATGCACTGGATCTCCAGCTTGCAGTGGCCAACATCTTGCAATCTCTTGTACATACTGAAAGGAATCAACAAGTTATGTGTGAAGCCGGGCTTCATGCTCGGCTTCTGCAGAAATGCAGTGCTGCTCTTACGGATGAGGACCATTCTTTGCATCCACCTCTCCAAAGGATGTTTGAAAGGTTGGCTTCTCAAGCGTTAGAACCGATGGTGCTGCGGTAAGTGAGAAAGTTTGGTTCAATTCAGATTGTTATTCAGAAAGAGCGCAGAGAAGAGCAACCAAGATGATTAGGGGACTGGAGGCTAAAACATACAAAGAACGGTAGCTGGAATTGGGTATGTCTAGTTTAATGAAAAGAGGCACATGAGGAACTAGGTATGTCTAGTTTAATTGGGTATGTCTTGTTTAATGACTAGGAGGGACATGATTGCAGTGTTCCAATATCTCAGGGGCTGCCACAAAGAAGAAAATTGAAAGAAAATTGTTTTCAATTTTCAATTCATGATTTTTGCATTCTGTCTAATGACAAAAAAGTACGCTATAAATTTTGTAAATAAGAAAAATAACAATAGAAGAATAATTATAACTGATGCGTTTATATACAGCACAGACTTGACATTTTTAATGTGTTTGTATGCTGGTTAGTTTCAGGGTTTTTAAAAATTTCATTAAAGAGTTTGAGTGAAAGCCTTTAGATTAAGGGATTAAAGATTAAAGTTAAAAGCAACGTAGAATAATCTGAAGCTTCTCTTATCTCTCCATTTTTCTTTAGGGAATTTTTACGTTTGGGAAATCCTCTGAATTGTGGAGCCTGGGATAAAAAACTATTGAAACGGTATCATGTACATAAACCGAGCTCACTCAGTTATGAACCAGAGATGAGAAGTAAGGGTTCAAATATTAAAAATGCATCTGGGATTCTTCTAGCACAGGGGTGTCAAACTGGGTTTCTTTGAGGGCTGAATCAGAATTGTAGTTCTCCGCAGCGGGCCGGGTGGGGTGGGGGGAGACGGGATGGATGCCTCCTGTAGCACCCTGCCAGTCAAAACGGGGCACAGGTTGTGCACAGCTCCCGGAACCCCATTTTCGCTAGCAGAGGCACCGGGGACCAGTCCTTTGCTGTTTCCAGGCCAGCCCTGTGGGCCAGATTCGGCCCGCAGGCCTTGAGTTTTACATCCCTGTTCTAGCAGTTCTTAAAATCTCGTAATTCTTTGAGCAAAATCTAGAATGAGTCCTAATGAGATTTGCTTGTGTTATTATAGAGGCCTTTTGGAATATTAATAGAAAAAGCTTGATTGAGTACAATTCTAAAAATCGTTTAACCTTGGATAAGGAGCCAGAAAAAAAAACACCACATTATTACAGTGTGGTGTTTCTCTTTGAAACCTTTCTAGGGGTTTCTGTTGTCAGGTCTAAATATTCACTTTTGGTAACCACTCCATAATTTAAGATGTGAAACCAACTTCAAAGTCTGATTTAAAATCAAAAATAGAATAAAGCCTGGGTAATAATAGTATATCCAATAATTATAACTTCTATTATTGGAGATAATAATAGAAGAGTCACATACCTTGGTTGTGATTAAAAGACTGACTATATTACGGCTATATTTAGTCCAGTGTCTTTAATAGCTGAGGTTTACTTAATAATTTCTTTTTCAGTACGAGGCTGAGTAGAAAAAGATTTCTCTTAGTGGGAAGAAGGTGGCTAAACTAGGTAGACATTGTTGTGGAAATTACATTTGGATGCTACTGTGTGTCATTAAGATGTGCAATGATTGATGGGTTGATTATATGCCATCAACTTGATATTATCTCTTAATGACCACATAGATAGATTTTCTTCGACAGTGTGAGAATTAACTAGATGAATATCTTAACATTTAATTCACAACCCAATTAAACTGGCATAGGGAGGGTTTGAGTCTGTTTCAGTGAATGATTTCATTGGAATTTTGCCAGTTAAAATTTTAAACGCTTTCAATTATATAAATGGCTTTTCGGCTCTTTTGTCTATTAAGGATAGCCTTGACTTTTATAACTTCCATTATGATTTTGAGGACTGATTTTATAACCGGTCTATCATTTTTAGAACCATCTAGTCCATGTAGAATACGTGAATCGGAATACGTGAGACTTAGCATCAAGCAACAAACCTATTTTTCCCCCCTTTCTCCATTCGCTCAACCTCTTCCTTTTTTCACATTTGCTATTAACACAGCTATTCTTTTTTACACCTCTTTTTCTTAATTTCTACTATAGATAGTATGGTTACATCAATGGAAGGGCTTGGTACCGACTGTGTGTTCAGCTTACATGAAGACAGCCACTACAGGATTAGCAAGAGCCTTTTGAAGCCAGCCGAAGGAAGCACCGTGCCTCTGACAAGAGTAAAGTGTTTGGTTTCTATGACAACCCCACATGATATTAGACTTCATGGATCATCCGTTACGCCTGCCTTTATTGAATTTGACACTTCTCTTGAAGGGTTCGGGTAAGGTCTCGCAAAATCTTTTATCTTAATTCATTGTTCTTCATGGAGGTTTAAGGGGATGGTTTTGGTTTTACAACCATAAAATGTGACATGGAAGGCTGCTTTTGATGTTACACATTCTTCTGGAACAAAGTTTAAGATCATCCCAGAAAGCATTATTTTTTATGCATTACAACATTTTTTCCCCACTAAAAGTGGCCCTTGTATCCAATTGTCTTAAGTCTGGAAAGGCATACGGTGATCACAGAAAGCCCAGTATAATTCATTATATGGTTTACAGAAATTGCTCGGATTTAATTTTACACGTCTTAACAGCAGCTAGAATTGTATTTCCACAACAGTGGAAAAAAATGAAGAGATCCTTACAGAAGAAAATGTAATTTAAAAAAAAATAGAATGTGCAGAAATGGATAGATTAACATTTAAAATTAAGGAGAAGGGAGAAACTAAATACTTTTTAACATGGGATTTGTTTTAGCAATGGATAACTAGCAAAAACAGCAGTTAGAAATTTAAAAGCATAAGGGAATGATTAATTTCATAAGGAAGGTTCACTAAAATGAATAAGCAAATACTATTATTATTATGTGATCATTATTAATGTTATGAATATTATTGTTTTTTATGATTACTACTTCTTAAAATTAATTGTACCCAGAAATTGCTTGGATTTTTGATGTACTGGTCTGTAAAGAAATTTAGACTGTGAAAGCATAATGTGAGTTTATAACGGTTGGTATTTCACTTGCTGAAATATTGAATTGTCTCCTTAAAATATTCTTATTCCTGTCTTTAGAAAGAAAGAAAAAAAAAGGTGTGTGTGTGGGGGGGAGATAGGATCCTTGGATGTAATTCTAGCTCTGATTACACATCAAAATTGTGATGTAAATCCACAATGTGTCATTGTGCCATCTTTTTGTGTGAATCTTCCCTCCAACACACACACACTTTGATTTTTAATGACGTAGCTGTATCTGATTGATGTTTCCCATGGTTTATTAACCCTGGATCTTATATTCAAAGAACATCAGCAAGTACTTCACTTTCCAGAATGGAGACAAATGTACCATCACACAGACAGGTGGAAAACAAACGGCAAATGCCTCCTGACATTTGGAAATATTTATGGGAGGCGGGAAAACATATTTTGGGTCCAGTAAATGGTACAGTGATGCAAAACGATGAGGGAACATCATGCATGTGGGTGCAACTGAGAGAATGGGTGTTATTTATCGGTTTTAAAGTATGACAGTTTTATTTTAGGCTTACGGGAAAGTTTCTACTGTTTCCCCCCTCAAAATGCAAGAAAACCATGTGGCCACTTTTGAGCAATTGTTGGTGGAGAAGGTCCTGTGGGCCAGGGGTCTCCAACCTTGGCAACTTAAGCTTGGAGGATTTCAGTCCTCCAGGCTTAAAGTTGCCAAGGTTGGAGACCCGTGCTCTGGGTCACAAAAAAGGGGTCTGGGGGCTTGTCTGCAACCTGGAAAGAACAGGTTTTCCATCACTGCTCTTACAGTGACATCTAGTGAAGTCCCAGTATGATATTTATTCCTATTCCTTGCCATGTCTGTGCTTCAGAGACCGCTTCTACGATATTAATTTTTACTTACTATGTACTTACGCTCTATTTTGGAGATTTGTGTGCCTGCATGTGTGTCAGTACGAATGGGTGTGTGAGTGCCACTCTTCTTCAATCAATCCATATGTGCTGGCATTCCCTAGTTCACAATTCCTATCGAAAGCTGAAGGTCAAAGGCCGTTTTTGTATCTGACTCCAAGTAGGAATTTCAAGATTTCTACAGGTGCCAGTTAAACTTCCTTAAATGTTAGATTTATGTATTTTTGTCAGTGTTTTTTAACTTTACCATTTTTATTCCCTTCACTTTCTTCATTTCATATTTATTTATTTATAAAATGTATTACCGTTTTATCCCCTTCACTTTCTTCCTTTTATATTATTTATTTATTTATAAAAATTTATTGACTGCCCATTTTACCATAGGGTTACTCTGGATGGCTTATGGTTACATATACAGTTAAAACATAAAAAGTTAAGAACATTAAAAGCAATGATATTACTGTATTTTTCGGACTATAAGACGCACTTCCCCCGCAAAAAAAGTGGGTGGAAATGTCTGTGCGTCTTATACAGTGAATACGGGCCCATTTTTGGCCTCCCAAAATCTCTATATGTCTCATTTTTGCCTCTCCTGTGTCCAGAAGCACTCTGCAGGCCAAAAATGTGCCTGTTTTTGGCCTCCGGAGGCCTCCACGGGTCCAGTTTTTGCAGACTGCTTCTAAATGCCGGGGAGGGCAAAAACGGGATGCGCAGAGGCAAAAAACCATTTTTTTCTTGTTTTTCTCCTGTAAACCAAGGTGCGTCTTATTGTCCGGTGCGTCTTGTAGTCCAAAAAGCATGTTTATATTTTACTGTTTTTTAAAAAAAAATCAAGAAAGATATATAGTTTCCAAAAAAAATCTAGGTGATGTACAATTTACTATGATATGTTGCTGGCTTGACAACCTGTGATCCATTCGGTCATCATTTCAGAGATAGAGGTAGTCCTCCATTTGCAATCACAATGGGGCCAACATTTCCGTTGCTAAGCAAAACAATTGTTAAGTGAGCTTTGACCCATTTAACTGCCTTTCTTTCCACAATTGTTAAGTGAATCACTGCTGTTGTTAAATTAGTAACATGGTTGTTAAGTGAATCTGGCTTCTCCATTGTCAGAAGGTCGCAAAAAGCGATCACATGACCCTGGGACATTGCAACCACATGACCCTGGGACATCATAAATACATGCCAGTTGCCAAATATCTAAATTTTGATCTTTAAGTTGGCCCACTTGAAGTATGTTAATTGCCCCATAATGCACTGTTTCTCCCAACTGAAGGTTACAAACAGACAAACAGAAGAATTTTAATAATGTATTGATGTTACTGTCATCATTTTTAGTCCAGATAATTTGCAAAAGAGCTAACTTTTGATCTAATTTACTGTATATATTGTTGATTTCATTTATTGTTCAGAAACTGTTCCAATTCATTCATCTCTCTTTCATAGTTGCCTGTTCTTACCTAGTTTGGCACCTCACAATGCACCAACCAATAATGTTGTTACTACAGGACTAATAGATGGCACTGTAGTCAGTGGAATTGGAACTGGTGAGTCCTTGGTTGTTGTCTGCTTAGATCAGGGTTAGGAAACTATGGTTGTTTTATGACATGTGAACCAGCCATACCGGCTCAGAAATTCACAGAGTTGATGTCCACAAGTCATAAAGGGGCCATAGTTCCTCATCTATGGCTTGCTTAGATAGATGTGTTTTGTGTATTGTTTTCTGAGAGTAGCAATGTGATATCTTCATGTTCATGTTTAGTATATAACAGGGGTGTCGTACTCAATTTCAATGAGGGCAGCATCAGGGATGTGTTTGACCTCGGGAGGCTGGGGCTGAGCATGGCCAACTTCCATCACTTATGTTGGGGGCACCTATGGTGGCCCAAGTACTCTGCCAGCAAAAATGGGCTCCCGATCTCCGTTTTTGGCTGTGACAGACTCCTGCAATCCTCTGCCAGCGAAAACGGAGCTTGGGAGGGCTGCTTGAGGCCCACCTGAGCTCCATTTTCGCTGGCAGAGGCACCGCGAGCCAGTCCTTCAATGTTTTCAGGTAGCCCCCCAGGCCAGATCTAAGCACCTTGCGGCCCGGATCTGGTCTCCGGGCCTTGAATTTCAGACCCTGGTATATAACTTCATACTAGGACCTGTAAATTTACCTTAGTGTCAGGATAGTATTTTTTTTAACAGAATAATCTCCTGATGACCCATTTTTGGTTATATTTCTCATGAAGGCAAAATGCCAGTGTTCCACTATATTGTGAGAATCATAAGCAGAGTAAAGTGGTAGTAGAGTTACAACAACCCAATTTAACTGATTATTAGAGCATAGCTGAACCCTCTAACAATTGGGTGAACGATTTAATGTAAGGGTTTTATGTGATGTAAATCACCAGAAGCCTGCAGAAAATAGGTTGTATATAAATGGAAGGAAGGGAAGGAGGAAGCTTTTAATGCACTGTCTCAACATTTCCCTTCCCTTTATACCCTAGGAAATAATATAAGAAAATATTTAGTAATTGGCTGCAAGCAGTCAAAACAAATAACAAGTATCATAAAAAAAAATTGTGATTGAATATATATCACATCTATATTTACTATTCAATAGCAATTGTGAAGTGTGAGCAATGATTCCCAGATGCATTAATGAATTACTTAATTTCATATTCTTTCACATTTTATATTTGATGTGGACAACATTTTTATACTAATTTGTTATTATTATATGATCATGTATGAGTAGCCCACAATACATGATTACTGAACATGCATCAGTAAGATGCATTTTTGAAAAAAGTGATCTAAAGCAAAATTAGAATTAGATTGTTTAAATAAGTAATATTTTTTACCACTTCCAGAAATTCATAGAATCCAGCTGTGTAGACAGCTGCAAGATTAAAATATTTAAGCTAGATATGTAAAGAATTTGGAGAAAGAGTGAATAGCTAATTTCCTGTCATTTTTCCCTTACAGGAGAGCGTCTTTTCCCACCTCCATCTGGATTAAGCTTTTCAAGTTGGTTTTGTGTGGAACATTTTAGCACAGCCCCAAATTATCATCCCATTAGGTTACTTACAATTGTAAGGCGGGCAAACAGCTCTGAACAGCACTATATATGTCTTGCTATCGTCCTTTCAGTAAAAGACCGAACCCTTATTGTTTCAACTAAAGAAGAATTGCTTCAGAATTACGGTAAGAACCAGCCTGCCTGTTCTTACATTTCATAAATTTTTCATCAATATTTTTTTTCACTTTAGGACAATGAAGCTTCATTTTGAAATAACATTCCTGCTCCAACAAAACACGAATAAGCAATGGGGGAATAAGCAATGAGCTGGAACAGTTTTTAAGGCTTCTACAAACTATGATTGTAGACCTGAAGTCTTAATTTGTTGAGCACCCTGAATTTGCAATTATTGAAATTGAACCCAAGTATGATGAAGTGGTTCTTCAGCTAATTTTCCCCTTGTGCTACAATAGTTTTAAACAGGTTGTCCTCAACTTGCAACCAAAATGGAGCTTGCCATGAGGTCGTAAGTCAAGATGGTTATAAATTAGCTCACCCACACGACTGACTCAATTTTATAACTTACTTTCTGCAAAAATAAACAAAAAAATATATAAAATTGACTGCAGGACACTGCAGATGGCCATAATCTGGGCCGGTTGTGCTGAGCACCAAACATGGAGTCTTGACCACACAGGGAGTTGGCTGAAGGTACTTCAAAACTGGGTTATAAGTACCCCTATGGAAGTGTGTCATGACTTTAGCCAATTGCTAAACGACCAGTCGTAAGTTGATAATTACCTGTAAGACATTTGAGCCAAATGTAATTTTTTAATGTTGCTAGTAGTGAAAGTTCAATCCCTGTGATTCTCTTCCAAACGGCTTTCCTAGTAAATGAAAATGGATAGTCTATTAAAATTAATATACATTTATTAATTGATTCTGATGTAATCTTAACTTCAGTTCTTTTCTGTATCTGGTTCTTTATTGTGATGGTGTTCTAAATGCAGACATTCAAGTGGTTAACTGCTTTGTACACTGATTTTCTAATGTTTTGATTTGATAAATCTGAAGCCAAATCAGAGTTCCGTGCTCATGGTTTATTATTTTTAATGGGGAATTGTGCATATCAAATTGTTTAGTTCATTTTAGGTTTGACCATTGGCAATATACCTTTGGCAGCTGAAACTCTCATTCAATCTTCTTTTGTCTCCAGCTGATGACTTCAATGAGGAGTCATCCTGCTATGAGATTCTGCCCTGTTGTGCTCGTTTTCGTTGTGGTGACCACATAGTGGAAGGCCAGTGGCATCACATGGTTCTGGTAATGAGCAAAGGCATGCTGAAAAATAGTACTGCTGCACTTTACATTGATGGACAGCTGATTAATACAGTAAAGGTAAATTCAAAGTCTATAGCTCCTACCCCTTACTAGAAAATATGTGTGATGGTATATATTCTCAAATGCTGTTGGTAGTTGCTCTATGTTGGTTCAGGGATGCAATGGCTCAGCGGTTAAAGACACTGAGCTTGTCAGCTGGAAAGCTGACAGCCCGGGTTTGAGACCCGAGCGCCACGTGATGAGGTGAGTTCCCGTTGCTTGCCTCAGCTCCTGCCCATCTAACAGTTCCAAAGCATGCAAATGTGAGTAGATAAATAGGTACCAGTTCCGGTGGGAAGGTAATAATATTCTGTGTGCCTTGGTATATAGTCATGCTGGCCAGATGACCACAGCAATGTCTTCGAACAACACTCCTTTAGCTAAGATGAGCATCACCCCCTAGAGTTGGACACGATTAGACAGGGGAAACCTTTAGTTTTTATATTGTTTCACTTTGTGACATTAAGTTCATGTTGTGTGCAACATCAAAGTCCTTGTATCACAGGTAATTGCTATTCATATGAAAATGGAATCTTGCTTTCTGAAATCAAAGCTGCATTATTTGGTCATCTCTAAAAAGATTTCTCACGCTTTTTGTGCTGCTGTTTGGTTCTCTAGTCCAACCTGAAGAATTGTTTGCTGCTCTCCTTATTCTTAAAAAAAACATAATTGACTCATTAAATGCATACATGAAATAAAAGATATCAGTGCTTAATCCATATCAAATTGAGTGGCTTAGAAGAATATCCTAGTCTGGAAAACCATAACACTTTTACAAGTTACAGAAAATCAAGTAGAAAATCAAGCCAGTGTGGTGGTCCAATATAACAATATTGCAAAATGTTTAGAATTAACATTGTGGAATAAATAAAAACTCATAAAGCTCAACTTAATCTGAACTCGTACTGGTGTCTGGTATGTCTGTTTCAGGGGTCCCCAAACTTGGCAACTTTAAGACTTGTGGACTTCAACTCCCAGAATTCTGGGAATTGAAGTCTACAAGTCTTAAAGTTGCCAAGTTTGGAGACCTCTGGTCTATTTCATGTAAAAAAAATGCAAGGGACCAACACAGCGCATGTAAAGAAATATTCTAACTATGAGATGAACTTCAAATAAAGTAAAACAGTGGCTGTAATTTCCTAATACTGTATAGTATGTTGTGTAATGTTGCAAAACATGCTCTTTAAAAATGAATAAAAATGAAGAATAGATATACCAAAACAGCAGTGATAATTATGTGATATATGAGACTTAGGGCATGCTTTTCAGCTTTCAATTTCCAAATATTAGGGGTGCTCCAAAGTTGTGACATGCCTTGGGGGTTGTAAAGATATTTTGGTTACTTTAATATAATTTAGATGGGCTTGGTAAGTAACTACATAAATATCATAACTTTTTAACATTTTGTTTGTTTTGTTTGACATGATGTGAACAGATGTTTTCTTATGCATTTCTGAGAAATGAAAAGTTTTGTTTGTAGTTCCTCAGAATTAGGAGGGATAAGTTTGTTTAGTAGTTAGAATAACTTTTTCTGCTTTAAGTTCCCCCATAAAATCTTTGTATGTAAGTCAAGTCAGAGTTATTGCTCTGGCTGCCAGAATTTCCTGTCCCAATGTCCTGCAAACATGGAATTAATAGCAATAGATTCTGTTTGTCTTTCACCAAAAGGACAAATAGCTTTCATTTCCTTTGGATGTTTCATCCAGTTAGTTATCCTTGTACAGCATGCAGAATATTAGAACCAAAGGTAGACTGCATCAGACACTAGCACCCCATCCAGTACCACAAGCCTAATTCACAAGAGGAATAGGGGAATTGTAAATATCCAATTTTTCCCCATATAATCCATCTAAAAGAGCTTGTATGAGGGTTAAAAAACAAGTTGTTTAATGCCCAAGATATCATAGAATGGGGGCAAATCCACAATTTGATCCGTTCCCCACCACCTAGTCAAAATTGAAGAAGGAGGAATTTAATTATTTTCTTTCACTATCTTTAGGTAAAAGGTACCCTATGCTAATGGGTGAAATGAAAGAACTTCTTCACATTAATCCAATCAGGAGGAAACCTTGCCTCCTGTTACTCCCTACCAGAGATTAATGATCTCCCTATAAAGTAACAGATTAGATTAAATATATCAAAATGTGTGACAGAGGGCACTGTAAGAAAAGAGCAGACAGAACTGGGGAGCAGAGTTAAGTGCAGCATCAGCTTAGAATCGTTATGATACCATAAATGCTCTTAAGTCCAATTCCTCCTGAATTCCATTGATCCTTATCTAATGCAGTATTGAATGTTAGTTGATCATATTTTTGTGGATTATGCTGCAATCGCATGAATGGTCCTGATTCTTTGAGCCTGGCAGGCACCTTGCTTCTTCCTTTCTTCCAGCATGAAAATGAGAGGAGTGCAGAAAATTGTGGGTGCCATGGAGTGGGGAGAGAGGGGAATATAGTATTTCTTATCCTCAGTGGTGTTGTCTGATGCCAAAAAAAATAAATTTATCTCCTTAAATACATCTGAAAGTTCAGATATGTTTATACAGAATATTTACTCTCTTAAATGCAGGCTTAATGCATGCAGATTTCATCAGATTAAAACGTTTATAATTAGATTATGTATATTTTTAATTGAACAGTAGCCTGAATAAACATTTCTTTCCTTTCTTAGCACGTATAAATGTCAAAATAAGCTACATATGGTGCTAGTTTTATTGATTTCTTATGTACACAGAGCAAGATAGTAGAAAATAGCTAGATGGTTTGGTGGCAGCCTGTGGCCGTGATGGCAAACCTATGGCACCCGTGCCAGAAGTGGCTCGCAGAGCCATCTCTGCCAGCACACAAGCCGTCCCAGCTCAGTTCCACTGTGCATGTGTGTGCACCTCCCGCCAGCCAGCTGATTTTCGGGTATCTGCCGTGCATGCACAGGGTGCATGTGGGAGGCACGCACATGCGCAGAGGACACGGGGGTGCAGGGGCTTCCATACGCATGTGCAGGGAGTGCGGGAGCACGGGGGTGTGCGTGCATTGCATTATGGGTGCAGGCATGCGTGTGCATTTTCGGCACGTGACAACGAAAAGGTTAGCCATCTCTGGCCTATCGGGATTAATCATAGGTAGAGCATGTAACTTTATTTGTCTATAGAATAGGTATGATAGTCTTTGCATTAATGTATTTTACAGTTTCACTATATTCACAGTAGTCCTGGCGGTTCAAGTTGTGCCAATCCACCAATAGTTAGTACAGTTTATGCCTATATAGGCACACCGCCTGCCCAGCGACAGCTCTCGTCACTCGTTTGGCGGTTGGGACCAACCCATTTCCTAGAAGAAGTCTTACCTCCATCAAGCATTAGCACAATTTATGAACTTGGCCCAAACTATGTTGGAAGTTTCCAAGCTGTATATATGCCTTGTAAGTAAAAACAAATCATAATTTAAATATCTTTTTTTTTAAATATGACTTTTGACAGTATAACTTTTTTTCCCAAAAAACACAGTATCTTGACAGTATTTTGTAAAGGGGCAAGAAGCTATTCCTCAAAAATATTTTAATTTGGGCTTCAGGATAAAAAGAGGAAGATGTACAGCAGAGAGTTTCATCCAGCATCTACTTCTGATTTTACTAGGTGTAACGCAGAGAGGCTTCTGGGTAAACAAGGTTTGAAATTGTGATATTAGTTGTTTCTGAGATTATGTGAAAAACAAGTTTTGTAAATTATTCTTTATAATAATAACGATTTGACCAGTGTTTATCAAATAAACAATCTTTCTCCTTTAAATATTTTCCCCCCTGAATGTTATCCTTTTCTTAATTTTCTCCTTGGACAAGAGACAGCTAACCCATTCTTGATATTGGCATGAAGAGATTATACTATTTTTTGGCCTAAATCTATATATATATAAAAGCAAAATACCACTCCCGCATCATCACAAAATCTCCAGAACTGTAAAGGCTACAAACTTGAAATTTGGAACGTATGTTCCTCTTAGCATCTAGGTGCTCACTAACAAAGGATTTTTTGAAATGACCATCAGAGCATTAGTATTTCCTATATTATTATTAACACGCTCTGATGCTAAGGAGTTCTACTCCCCCTCCCCACCTGAAAAGAAATCTCTTCCATATGCAAAACACAAGTATAGGAGAGGAGTTTCAGTTTCAGTTTCAGTTTCACAGCACCAAGCAGGTTTAGTACAGAACAGTTAAGCTAAGCCACGCCCAGGCTCCTTGCTGTTTCCTTCTTGCTCACACAGCAAATACTGCTTCACTTTCCAAACAGCCCTCAACTCTCTCACACATTGACAGGATGCTAGCCAGATGAATACCGATGGATGCTGGTAGGCAGAGGCAGAATTTTTTTCCCCTTATTTTCCTCCCCCAAAACGAAGCCTGACCATATAGTTTTGTAGCGAAGCACGGGTATTGAGCTAGCCTTAAATATTTCTAAAGAGAAATATTTAATTGATATTTTGACCAAAGGTCTTACCAGTTCCATCTACTAGAAACGGTAGCCCTAAATATTTGAGGACGATGCATTTGGAAAGAGCAATATTTAGAGATCAAATTTTCATAAAAATACATTAATAATTTTAATTAATTTAATTTATGTGCCATTTTAGCGTGTTCTTACATATCATGCTTGCTAGCTAAATATAATCTTCAGGTTTATATGATGGGTTTTGTGTGACGTTCAAATCGGAACCAAATCCCAAATTAATTAAAATATACAGGTATTCCTTGCTCACTGACTGCCTTGTTCAGAAATTTTTCAACATGGCAAGTTGTCATTTACAATGGTTGTAACTGCTGCTTCCTACAGTCACAACTGTCCTTGGTGCACTTCACAACCCGCTTTCTACAAGCAGAAGTAATGGACAACACAGCAGTGAGATTGCAAGTTGCAATCACATAATGTCTTAATGAACAACCGCTGTGATTTGCTTAATGACAAGTTGGAAGCTGCTTTTAAGTCAGGTGTGGTCACATGATTTTTTTTCACTTAGCAACCGGAGCACCTAACTGTGGAATTGCTAGTCCCAATTGTGGTCGGGAAGCAAGGACTACCTATAAAACTATGATTTATTTAGGTTTTCTGTATGTTGTTTGAATTTAGATGTTCAGATGTTAAGAATTAACCATTTAGGTTTTGCTCTTCCAGTCTGCAGACAGAAAGTTATATGGTAGGAGTGGGTGCAAAACAAACCCAAATATACATGTCCCAGGATAATGATGCAAGATCGAATCTGGGTGGATCACCAGGAGCAGAGATTTACCCTTCCCATTCTTATAGCAGTTCTGCCTTGTTGGGAGAGGACAATTAGTATTTCATACACAGTCCCTCTAATTGTAATTGGGCCAACGTGCTGCTGGAGCTTTGTTTTTAATTAGGAAAACAACTGAGCCTTTGCAAAACAGAGTAGGGTGAGGCCAATTGGAAAGGAGGGAAATTTGCAACTCATTTATTATAGCAACTACAGCTGTATTGTTAAGGGTCCATGCATGACGTGGGTAAATTTTAGAATTTACATGCAAGGAGGGCAAGTTGTTTCAAAGTTCTAGTTACTGTGAAGTCAATTTCATTTGCGCTTATAGTAGCAAACAAGGTACTGGAAGGATGAACATTTGATTTGCTTTAGAATTGTTGCCCTTATTGACTAGATCTTAGGCTAAATATTTCTCTCTAACCCATAACGCTGCACTATAACTATATTGCAAACCAGGTATTCCTCAACTTACGACCACAATTAAGCCTAAACTTTATGTTGCTAAGAGAGAAATTTGTTAAGTGTGTTTTACCCCATTTTACAACTTTTTCTTGCCACGTTTGTTAAGGGAATCGCTGCAGTTGTTAAATTAGTTAAATGAAATTGGCTTCCCCATTGACTTTCCTCGTCAGAAGGTCGCAAAAGGGGATCACATGATCCCGGGACACTGCAACCATCATAAATGTGAGTCAGTGATGTAAATCATGTGACCACAGGGATGCTGCAATGGTCATAAGTCCCTTTTTTCAGTGCGATTGTAACTTTGAACATTCACTAAGAAAACTGTTGTAAGTGGAGGACTACCTGTAGAAGCTAATTCTGAAACGTTGTCCTTCTCTGAAATCTCCTAGGGCATTTCCCATTTGGATTGAGATTTGGTCTAAAGATTGTATGTCATCTGGTTTGTAATCTATATTTATATCATCTCACGGGTGAAATTTTCTCTCGTTTGAAGGCAAAGATTCCAAAGCAGAAGGAATCAGTCCGTCTCCAGTCTCATTGGTCCCAGAGGAGAAAGTATCTTTTGGCCTTTATGCGCTCTCTGTTTCTTCACTCACAGTAGCAAGGATTAGAAAAGTTTATAACAAATTGGACAGTAAGGCCATAGCCAAGCAGGTAAGCTGAAAACATTTTTTATGTGTCACTTGTTAGTTTTCAGTACTGACTCAACAAATGTTGCTAATACTCAACTTTGACCATCAGTAAACCTCACACAATATTTAATATATGAGAGTCAGCAGATCAGCAAGCATCTTTTATGATAGGTTGTGCTTGTATATTGGGCATGCACATGGATGTATCCCAGGGTTGAAGAGAATGTGCATAGCTAAAGGTTAACAAAGAACAAGTAAGTAATTAGTTCCTAAGTATTCTTTATTAAGAAAACTAGCTGGATACTCATGCTTCGCTACAAAACTATGTGATCAGACTTAGTTTTTGGGGAGGAAAATAAAGAGACTCTGCAAACCGCTTAGAGAGGGCTGTAAAGCACTGTGAAGCAGTATATAAATCTAAGTGCTATTGCTATTGCTATATGTCAACCCAACTCACTCTTGGTGACTCCAGGTAGTTTAAAAAGTATCCTTTTTTTTAACCTCTTTTATACTTTGGAGGGACAAATGGGTTATTCCAGCTAATTTCCACTTTGGAGTATTCCAGTGGATACTGGCTATGTAATCTCATATGATGTACGAGTAATCCTTGATTTACCCACTTTGTTTAGTGATCATTTGAAGTTACAAGACTCTGAAAAAAATGATTTATAACACACACAACTACTGCAGAATCCCCATGGCCATGTGTTCAGAATTTGGATCCTTGGCAACTGGCATGTATTTATGAAGTTGTGCGGTCCTGTGGTCATGTGATCACCATTTGTAACCTCCCTAGCTGGCTTCCGACAAGCTAAGTCAATGGGGCAAGCCAGATTGGCTTAACAACTGCAGTGATTAACAACTCTGGCAAAAGGGTTGTAAAATGGGGCACAACTCACTTAACAATAGCAATAGCACTTAGACTTATATACCTCTTTACAGTGCTTTACAGCCCATAGATAACTGTTTACAGAGTCAGCATATTGCCCCCAACAATTTTGGGTCCTCATTTTACCCACCTCAGAAGGATGGAAGGCTGAGTCAACCTAGCCTGGTGAGATTCGATCTGCCAAATTGCAGGCAGTCGGCAGGCAGCAGACGTAGCCTGCAGTACTGCATTCTAACCACTATGCCACCACGACGACTCATAATAACTGTCGTGCCTAGCAATGGAAATTTTGGCAAGGGAAATTGTAGTTGTAAGCCAAAGACTACTATACATGTTTCTATAATAGAGGTGCATAATGGGAACCCGCCAAAAACAAATTGCTTATGAATTGATCGAGAAAGAGACGCTTTCTAAGAGAAGCTGAGAAAATTGAACAGTCTATTTAGAGGCTATGTACCAAAAAAGAGAAGTTGTTGATTGTGTGCGTCTCCATAACTCATTAATACTTAAGATGCTACATCCTCTCATAGCTTTTAGAAATGAATGATTCCCTTTAACGACAGGTTTGGGTGTGAGAGTTAGAAGCTTGGTGTAAGTGATGACAAGTGTCCACCAAGTATTTATCTTCTATCTGGGGAAATTAAAGATGTTTGTTAAATTGTTTCTGATATTGTCCAACTGAAAAATAAAACGTTTCTTCCATTATACAAGGAAACAATTCCTTTGTATTATTCTTCTGCTTTTGTAAATCACAGAATCATATCTGATCTTTCTTCTCTTAGGCTTGAGGAGTGTGTTTTCCTGCCAATCTGTGAAAATGTTCAAAAAATATTGTTCCTATAAACTCTGTCTAAACAAAGTTTTTTGTTTGTTTGTTTCTCATTAGCTAGCTATTTCATCCCACGAAAATGCCACTCCAGTAAAACTGCTCCACAATTCAGGAGGACATTTAAATGGACCTGCGCGTACCATTGGCGCAGCTTTGATAGGATATTTGGGTGAGAAAACATTAAAATAAACTAATAAATGTTTTTGTATGGTGCTTACTCAAGTATGTAATGCTTCTGTAGTCTGTTACATTAAAAATTACTGTACAGTATCAAATATTTAAGGAGGGATCATTCAGTTGCCAAAGATGTCCAGTCCTGATCACAAAACTTAACAGATAGTTGTTATTTAGCAACTGTCTCCTACAGCAACCATTCACAGTGATGAAAATTTAACTTTGCAGCCAATCCTCATATGGACAACCTTTGCAAGTCTGTAAAGAAAGGAAGTAAGATTGTAAGCAGTCACATTTTCACTTCACTTAACAGCCAAGTTGCCGATCCCAATTGGGATTGCTTTCCCACTCCTGACATAATCACATTGCTTTTGATGTATAGAAAACAGCTTACTCTCTTGCAATACCTTTCTCTCCAAACACTTGCTCTGTGTGGGAAATGGTCAGGCAAAGGTGAGATTTTGCTTGCTTTTTTCTCCTCTCCCATCAACACAGAATGGAAAGATTAGAAAGGAAGGGACTGCAAAAATACTATAAACACTGAGTTCCAACCCTGGGCTTCTGATGCAAATACATTGCTTTCAGTGTGTAGAAGAGCAAATGCTTGTTGTTTTGCAATCCCTTTCTCTCCAATGTCTCTGTTGTGCAAGGGCAAAAAAGAAAAAGAAACAGCTTAGACATAGTGTATTTACAATGTGTATTTACTGTAATGGCAATCACATGACTGAGGTGTTGCAAAGTTTGTAAATGGGCTGTGAAGGTTTTGTTTCAGCCCTGGCATAACTTCTGACCATCACTGAATGGTCGGTAAACAAGGACTGTAGCTCCTGTTGTTTCCTGCATAAAAGACCCTCTATATATATGCATTAGGAACCTGAATATTCCTAATATTAATAGGAGTTATGAATACAAAAAGTTTGAACTGATTATTTGTCTTTATCTTCCATTGCTGGCAACCTCTACAGGATGAGCAGTGTAATTCCAACAACTCATATGATACGGTTTTGTTTTTTTTCCATTTGTTATTTTTAAAAAGGCGAGATAAAGGAAATTGAAACATATGCTGTTTATTTTTGAAGTAATAATTAAGTTGATGACTATCCTGTAAAACTGATGTTTTCATTTCATTTTGCCACCTCCATGCAGGGGTAAGAACATTTGTCCCTAAACCTGTGGCGACTACCCTGCAATACATTGGTGGAGCTGCTGCTATTTTGGGCCTAGTAGCCATGGCGTCAGACGTAGAAGGACTTTACGCTGCCGTGAAGGCCCTTGTTTGTGTGGTCAAGAGCAACCCTCTCGCTAGCAAAGAAATGGAAAGAATCAAAGGTTACCAGGTGAGAATAAAGATAGACAAAAATGCTTGTGCGGACCACATTTGGGTGAAATTCATTGCGTGAGCCATGGTAGCGCAGTGGTCAGAGTACAGTACTGCAGGCTACTTCTGCTGACTGCCGGCTGCCTGCAGTTCGGCAGTTCATATCTCACCAGGCTCAAAGTTGATTCAGCCTTTCATCCTTCCGAGGTTGATAAAATGCGCAATTCCCTGACCAAATTGTATTGCAAAATTTCAAGTAGTGACAGCACGATGCCATGGCTTTACAGTTTAGGCAGCACAACACGGTCAGCTGCTAGCTCAGCAGAGACATTTAGTGTTTGCCAGATTGAAAGGAAGCACTCATAGGATCCCGAAGAGAAGCAAATGGGAAGCTTTATTTCTGGGGCGATCAAGGGCACTACACCATCTGTGTCCGCTGAAGGACATTTAGCGGAGCTCGTTTTAGTTATATAATTGATGCAAAATGTAACATTTCATTCGGGTACATGGCAGAAGCCTCTCCTGCAAAACGGGAAGGTTTTTTCCATCACAAGAAAAAAAGTTTATTGTTCTAATCCAAAACCAGATAGCATCTCCTGCAGTGATCCAGCAACTATATTTGCATGATTTGGAATGAGCTTCAGCTTCTGAATTGAGGCTGGCAGGATGAGAAGTGGGTTTCTTTTTCACCACCCCAAATGAACCGAGAATTTAATTGACTTGATCAGATTAGTGATAATGTCAATTAGTGATCTGGCTTCCCAAAAGTTAAAAAAATATGAGAATAATAATTAAATTATAAATTTGCCATCAGAATAAGGCATAACATATAATAATAAGATATTATATATAATATATGAAGAGTCATGGTGATGCAGTGGTTATAGAAGGAAGTATTGCAGGCTAACTCTGCTCACTGCTAGCAGTTCGATGCTGACCGACTCAAGATTGACTCAGCCTTCCATCCTTCCGAGGTCAGTAAAATGAGGACCTAGATCAGGGCTGTCAAACGTGTGGCCCATGGATCGGATGCGTCATGCGCTGGCCCCACTCCCACCTGGTTTAGCAAAGGGGGAAAATAGTTGTGATACATCATGTGACGCCACCGTGACAACTTGAGATTGACATCCCTGACCTAGATTGTGGGGGGCAATATGCTGACTTTCAACCGTTTAGAGAGGGCTGTAAAGCACTATAAGGCAGTATATAAATCTAAGTGCTAGTACTATAAATATATAGATACATATTTAATGACACAAGTACATATTATACACCCATGTTATTAGTACGTGATATAGAAATGATTTAGTTCTCAGAATGCAAAAGCAAAAAGGTTTCCGAAATTTCAAGAAAATGGATCCAGAGAAGCAAAAATCCCCTTTTTTCAAAGGCCTGCCCTTTTTAAAAAAAATACATTCACCTAAACAAGACTTTAATTATAAAGTGCCCTGACAGGTACATTTCCTTCTCTCCATTGAATTTATTTATTTTTTTCTTTCTGAAAAATATGGGTTTTGAACAATCAGATAATTTCCTTCTTTCACTTCTCAGTGCCTATTATGCTGGGGTTACTTTCAATTTCATTTCTGGTTTTTTTCTATTTACTATAAATTTGGAGGTTCTAGTTTTTTACATAAGAAAGCTTGTAAAGGAGAATGTTTGTAGGTCAGGGTTGAAATGAGGGGTCCTTGGTGCTCTCTAGGCTTGGTTATTTTCTTGCAAGACATTTCCTTATCCAAACTAGATAACATCATCACTGCCAGTAAGGAGTATGTTTGCTCTCAGTTTATATTCTAGATAATAATAATATTATAGAATGTAAACTGAGAGCAAGCCCCATTCCTTACTGACACTGATGATGTTACCTAGTTTGGTAATGAAATGCCTGCAAGGAAGCAACCAAGCTCAGAGAGCACCAAGCACCTTTCATAAGAAAGCTTCGTTGTGGGACCGACTGTTTTTCTATGCTAGGACGAAATGAATATTTCTGTCTGTCTGCAAAAAATTCTGTGAGATTACAAAATTCAGAACGCTTCAATATCTCTATGTGTCTCCATCTGCTTCCAGTTGTTGGCCATGCTGTTAAAGAAGAAGCGTTGTCTTTTGAACAGCCACATTCTACATCTGACCTTTTCTTTAGTGGGGACAGTGGATAGCGGACACGAAACATCCATCATTCCAAATTCAACTGCTTTTCAGGATCTGCTTTGCGATTTTGAGGTACTGAGAATATTTCTGAACTTTAGCCATAAAAGATTAATTAGCAAACCTGTTGTAATAGCATTGCTTGAAAGATAACATGTATTATTGGGAGGGGAAAAGCGGGTTGTTGGGTGTTTTTTTTTTTTGCTTCAGGTGGCATATGGCAGTGATGACTTAACCTTTTCATCACCGTGTGGCGAAAGTGCGTGCGTGTGTGCGCACACACGTGTGGCTGTTCACACGTGTGCCTGCACCCATAATGCAATGCATGCATGACCCCTCATGATCCCCACGCCCCCTGCACGTCTCCTGCATGCGTCCCGCCCTCGTGCATGCGCAGCAGATACACGACAATCAACTGGCTGGTGGGAGGCATCCGCGCATGCACAGTGGAACTGAGCTGGGGCAACGGCTCACGTGCTGGCAGAGATGGTTCTGCATGCCACTTCCAGCACGCGTGCCGTAAGTTCGCCATCACGGGCATATGGTATACAGGTAATCCTTGATTTACAACAGTTCGTTTAGTGACCATTCAAAGTTACAACGGCACTGGAAAAGTAAGTTACGAAGGTTTTTCACACTTATGACTGTTGCAGCATCCCCATGGCCGTGTGATCAAAATTCGGATGCCTGGCAACTGACTCATATTTATGACGGTTGCCATGATCTTTTGTGAACTTCTGACAAGCAAAGTCAAGGGGGAAGCCAGATTCACTTAACAACCATGTTTACTAACTTAACAACTGCAGTAATTCACGTAACAACTGTGGCAAGAAAGCTCGTGAAATGGGGCAAAACTCACTTAACAGCTAACGGAAATTTTGAGCTCAATTGTGGTCGTAAGTCGAGGACTACCTGTATTGTACAGCTGTACTGCAAATAAACATTGATCCGCCTTGTTGGACCAATTTTAATGTGAACTATTGAAATAGATTGTTGGTATTCATCATTCTGTTGCTTTCCAGATGTGCAAGAACTACAGTTCTCATCCCCTCCATTCTGGCTGGGGAATATGAGATTCATAGCGGAAGCACATCAGGAGAACAACATTAAATTAGGAAGACTGCAGTAATGTGGACTAACAATTTGTTCTAAAAGAAAGATACAATTGGAAGTAGATTTGTTGAGTTCATTGAAAAGTATTAGATATGAACAGAGTTAGGTGCGACTATATTTACCATAATAACTTTTCTATAAAGCCTTCAGAACAGTGGTGGGATTCAATTTTTTTTACTACCAGTTCTGTGGGCGTGACTTGGTGGGCATGGTTTGGCTTGGTGTGCGTGGCAGGGGAAGGATACTGCAAAATCTCCATTCCCTTTCTACTCCTGGGGGAAGGTTATTGCAAAATCCCCATTCCTTCCCTGCCCCACTAACCTGCTTTCCAGCTCCATTCTCCTGTGCAGGGCAGCCAAAGAAGACCCAGCCGGTCAGCTGGGACTCGAGAGGCAGAGAAAAGATGTGGGGCGGGGCCAGTCAGAGGTGGTATTTGCCGGTTCTCCAAACTACTCAAAATGTCCGCTACCGGTTCTCCAGAACTGGTCAGAACCTGCTGAATACTACCTCTGCTTCAGAACTATTTCAGTGGGGAGACACAACATGCAAATCTTTGAATTTGAAATAGAAAATTGATTATAATATTCATCGGTTTGGCTTGTGTTACATTCAGAGCCAATCAAAATAAACATAAAACAATTTTGTTTGCTTATACCAGTGAGCAGCCCTGACCTGGAAATTTCTTTGATGAGGGAAAACTGTAAATCGGTGAACTGTTATTTAGACTGTATTTTTTTTTCAGAACGACATAAAGTGAATCTTAAAGCAGAATCAAGAAATGTTATTTTGCTAATCTAGAATGAAGATGAAGTATTAATCAGGCTTGACTCCTGATGGATATACTTCAGGGAAATATTTTGGTAGCAGTGTTATCTGCTAAATTAACAGCATGTAAAAATTATAAATATTTTTGCATTTCAGGTTTGGCTTCACGCCCCCTACGAACTTCACCTTTCATTATTTGAACATTTCATCGAACTTCTTACTGAGTCCAGGTAACATTATAAATATTGTTTTATAAACAGTGTAAGAAGTTTAACACTTCGGTTTTTTCTCTCCATCAGTATTCACAGAAAATTTTGTTCGGTGGCCCTGTTTAATGCTCTTACACAACATGATTAATTCTCTGTTGTGTGTGTGGTGTTTTTTTTGAGGTGATGGAGGAGTAGGAAGGATATCTTATCTCATGATAAGCTATATATGTGTTTAAAGCCATACAGTTGTTTGGATTAAATCACCAAATGAAATTTTAGAATGTAAAGGAGTCCAATGCTTTAATTCAGTTGCAATCTTAGAAAAGACAAAAGTGTTTTAAGATATTGTAGACAGGTGCTATGTTTGCACTTTGAATACAGAGTATAGGTATAATTATATACTGTACACCTTTACTCACACAAACACACACACACTACAACTACAGTTAAATATACAGTTCTGCAGAAAATACAGCACCTCTTGAAAATCTCATTTGAATAATGCTTGGTTTTGAAATCAGTCATGGAAACTACAAATATATGAACAGATCTTGTCTTCCAAAATGTTTAATGGATTTCTTGAAGTGATATCCAGAATTGGGGCATAGAAGAGATAACCAACATTTGACTTTCGTTATATTAGGATCCTATGTAAAATAGCTAACCATAAAAGGTTTCAACAAACAAAAAAATGTTTGGATATAATAATTGGGGTAACTAAGTAAATAAACGTGGGCGTTTTTGAATTAAATAGTACAATATGATACCAGCCATGCAGATTTCTCAATTGATATATCTGTAGATTGATGCATAGATATGATTGACTCCAAAAATAATTCATAATGTAAGACACTTATCATTTTTAGTAAGAATGACAATTATTTTCTTACTTATTACATTGTTCTTTCCCTTACAGTGAAGCGTCAAAAAATGCAAAACTGATGAGGGAATTCCAGCTAATCCCAAAACTCTTGCTTACTCTCCGAGATATGTCTTTATCACAGCCAACCATTGCCGCTATCAGCAATGTTCTGAGCTATTTGCTTCAGGGGTTTCCTAGTAGCAATGACCTACTCAGGTAACATCGAGATTCACTATGGATTTTCTTCCTACAAAAATTAGAGGGTGTGCTGGTACCTCTGAGAGGGCACATTTCTCTAGTCCCACATAGAAATGTGGGAGATTTTTCTATGAGGGGGGAAAATGTTTAAAACAGGGCCAGAATCTATTGGATAGTTACTACAGGTAGTCCTCAACTTAAAACACATTATTTAATGACCTAATGTTTGAAATTACAATGGCATTGAAAACAGTGACTTATGACCATTTTTCACCTTTATGCAGCATTCCCATGGTCCCAAATTCAGATGCCTGGCAACTGACTCATATTTATGACGGTTGCAGTGTCCCAGGGTCATGTAATCGGCTTTGGCTACCTTCTGGCAAGCAAAGTCAATGGGGAAGCCAGATTCACTTAACCTATCTTAAACTATCTTACCAACTGCAGTGATTCACTTAACAACTGTGGCAAAAAAGGGACAAAACTCACATAACAAATGACTCTCTTAGCAACAAAAATTTTGGGCTCAATTGTGGTCATAAGTCGAGGACTACCTGTATTAAGTTTTATCATGCTTGGAAAATGTAATGTAATGTTTGGAAAATGTAATATTTTTTGCATTCCAAAATTGGTGTCAGTTCCAAAACGATAATTTATAATAAATAAATGAATGAATGAATGAATGAATGAATGAATGAATGTAATTTATTTGAAACTAGCTCAATACCCGTGTTTCACTAAGAAACTATGTGGTTGGGCTTAGTTTTTGGGGAGGAAAGCAAGAGGGGGAAAATTCTGCCTCTGCCTACCAGCATCCATCAGTATTCATCTGACTAGCTCCTGACTGTGTTAAGGGCTGTTTGGAAACTGAAACAGTATTTTCTGTATGAGCAAGAAGGAGACAGCAAGGGGCCTGGGCGTGGCTTAGTTCAACTGTTTTGTACTAAAGCCGGTTGCTGCTCTGAAACTGAAACTGAAACTCATCTTCTTGTGTTTTGCATTTGGAACAGATTTCTTTTCAGGTGGGGAGGGGGAGTAGAAATCCTTAGCATCAGAGCATGTTAATAATAATATATGAAATTCTAATGCTCTGATGGTCATTTCGAAAAATCCTTTCTTAGTGAGCACCTAGAAGCCAAGTGGAACATATGTGCCAAATTTCAAATTTGTAGGCTTTACAGTTCTGGAGATTTTGTGATGATGTATGAGTGATATTTTGCTTTTTTATATAGATACATAATTTACTGTTTATGTGTAATAATTGTGCATTATCACAGATGTCTTGGCTTTTACAAGTCACCTCTCCCAACTAAGTTGCATTCTGACACCTCAATACTAGAATCTCCAGCAGTACAAGCCGTGTTTCGGTAGAGTGAGGAAGGATATTATGCTGGACCAGGACAATTTTAATTCTAAATCAGCTGTCACCACAATCTACATTTTTTTAATCCATTGCCACATAATGTTAACTTTTACGGTGCAGCTGACGTTAACAACTAGCAAAATTAAACATTACTTGTCACACAAGGGCCTGCCATTTTCCTCCTTTTATTTTTCAAGGTTTGGACAGTTCATCGCTTCTACTTTGCCTACATTTGCAGTCTGTGAGAAATTTGTAGTCATGGAGATGAACAATGAAGAGAAGCTTGACACTGGTAAGTAGTTCCAGATTCAAGGGAAAGATTGAAAGAGAAGTTGAGATGTATTTTTGCATTAGCATTTAATGTTTTTTTTCCTAAGCTCATGTTTTCTATTCTCTGGTGTGCAAGGTAGTCCTCGACTTAAGACCTAATTAAGACTGGAATTACAGTCATAAGGCATGCTAGTTGTTAAGTGGGTATCATGTGACTGCATCCTATATTACAAACCTTTTTACACCAGTCAAAATTTATACTAAGTACAAAATTGTTGTAATACTAAAAGACTATTTACATCTTAACTTGCTTAGGTGTACGTTGTTAGATTAGTTTATAGTTATTTTCTGAAGCATGTCTATATAAATTACAATGCATATCTTATAATGTGTGCATAATTCCAAAATAAATGTATTAGTGAATTTTATTTTATTTTTTCTTAATCTATAATTGTTTCATCTTGTAATCATTAAAATTTAGAGCATTTTTAGCTAAAGGAACATTTTCCATGCCATAAAACTAGGGAAGTATTTATTAGTTAGATTGATTGTGCTTTAAATATCCACTGACATTATTTTAGAAAATAATCTTTTCATGGGCGTTCAAAATGGCCTCCTTCAAAGCAACCATTTCTGTTTTAGGAACTGAGGAAGATTTTGGTGGTCTTGTTTCTGCAAATCTTATTCTTCTGAGAAACAGATTGCTGGATATCCTTCTGAAACTTATGTACACATCTAAAGAAAAAACAAGTGTCAATTTACAGTGAGTATACATAATTTAGATTATTTTTTGTATAGATGTAACTATAACAAAAACCCAGGATGGTTCTACTTTTCTATCAGAAAGCAACAACAAATCCACGTGAGCAACATCCTATAGCAGTATATGAGGAGCAAAACACTAGATCTTGTTAACCCTTTTTTCCCCCTGAAAATTTGCCAATTGTGGGGTCCTTGTTGTTCTTTGAGCTTGGTGGTTTTCTTGCAGACATTTCATTACCAAACTAGGTAACATCATCAGTACTAGGAGGGAATGGGATTTGCTTTTATTTTTTGTATACTAGTGGCTTGCCCTGTCAGTGTTAATGGGAATGGTCTTGGGCAGGGGTATCAAACTCTGGGCTTGCAGGCTAGATCTGGCCCACTGGGTACTTAGATCTGGAAACAGTGAAGGACTGGCCCGCAGTGCCTCTGCCAGCAAAAGCGGAGCTCAGGAGAGCCACACGCGGTGGCCCTTTTTGCTGCCAGAGGGTGTAGGAGGCCATCACAGTCAAAAATGGAGCCAGGGCGGCGCTGTGTGGGGCCCCCCGAGCTCTGTTTTCACTGGCAGAGTGCTAGCAAAACAAATTACTAGCGAAAGTGGATCCACCAGCCCCGCCCCACCACAAGTGCCCCTGACACGAGTGATGTTGAGCTGGCCGTGCCCACCTGACCACGCTCACTTGCCCCCCCCCCCAGGTCAAACACAACCCCGATGCGGCCCTGAATGAAATAGAGTTTGACACCCATGGTCTTGGGGATTTCTTGACTAGGCCATTGTTTATTGTTAGCTTGTTTGTCTACGTTGGTAATTCCTTGATTGGGGTATTGTTTACTTCTGGATTCTTGGTCTAATTTTGGTCTAGATTGCTAATTCTATGGATTCCCCTTAGGGCTTGCGAAGAGCTAGTCCGAACCCTGGGCTTTGATTGGATTGTGCTGTTTATGGAAGACCATCTGCATCCAGCTACAGTGACTGCAGCCATGAGGATTCTGGTAGTTTTGCTGAGCAACCCAACTATCCTCCTCAAATTCAAAGAAGGTCTCAGTGGGGGAGGCTGGCTGGAACAGACTGATTCTGTATTGACTAATAAGATCGGAACCGTGCTTGGTATGAATCCCCACAAGTTACCGTGTTATCAAAATGCAGTACAGGTAGTCCTCAATTTACAACAGTTCATTTAGTGACCATTCAGAGTTACAGTGGCATTGAAAATGGCAATGATTTACGACCATTGCAACATCCCCATGGTCACATGATCAAAATTTGGATGCTTGGAAACTGGCATGTACTTATGACGGTTGCAGTGTCCCAGGGTCAAGTGATCACCTTTTGCAACCTTCTGACCAGCAAAGTCAATGGGAGGGAGCCAGATTCACTTAACAGCCATCTTCCTAACTTAAAAAACTGTTGTGATTCACTTAACAACTGTGGCAACAAAGGTTGTAAAATGAGGTAAAACTCACTTAACAATTGTATTGCTTAGTAGTGGAAATGTGGGGCTTAATTGTGGTTGTAAGTCAAGGACTACCTGTATAATAGAACTTGGACTAATCCATGAGGCTGAACGGTGAAATAAAATGCTTTTCGATATAGGAAATTGCCATTTTAACTATGTACTTACAAAAGATTGCATCGGAATTTAGAGATTTGGAGTCGGGTTTTTTTCCCCCAGGCTGAATATTGTGGCCATTATAAAGTTGATCTGATATTGGGAGAGTCTTGTCTGACTTACAGTAGTATATTCTCAAATTGGAGAGGGCTCCTGAACGAGTTAACTGAAGGAGAGTACACAGAAAACTGTATGGTTAAATGAACCAGCCTTAGTTTAGTTTCCATTTCTTTAGAAAATATCTGTGGACAATTTCTTTTATGCACAATTATTGATCAGTGTGTCTTAGAAAAAGGTTACCTAACTCACAACGTCTTTAACCGGCCTGTTTATATTCTATAAAAGTTGGTTTTCATTTAAAACACAACTTTGTTCAGAGATTAGTTTATAACATTGTCAAATACAGGGTATGTTGTTACAGTCTCCCTTGCCAGTTTAATGGTAGAATGCCAAGGGGGAAAAACGACTGAGCCAGAATGCTAATCCATTATGTTGGCATATTTGAGTAGGAGTTGACATATGTTCATTTGTATGCAAGGGTTCCCCTTTAAAGGCCCTCCCAAATGATCTAATTAAGCTGATGTTATTGAACATCTGCTTGGGAGCAAAGGCCACAGCTGCTCTTGTGATGTAAGAATTGGACCAAAAACGGACTGTATGGAAAATCCTAAAATGACAAAATCTTCAAAGTCAGCATTGCTTCTTTGTTCATTGTTCTAATAATGTGGGATGAGCAATATTGTAAATATTATCTGTTAAGAGCATGCTCTATAGAATTTTGAAAGTTTACAGAGTTTTTAGCATAAAGTAAATATTTTTAATCAGAAACAAAAAAAATGTTAAAGAGAATCAGCATGGATATTTCTAATATACTGTTGAGCAAAGCCAATTGTTTATATTAATACCTTTGTTTATTGGGAATTGACAGACATCACTAGAAGAGCTAAGATACACTAAGGGGTTATTGTTAAAATCTGCTCTGAAATTAAGATGATATTGTCTTGTACTCAAGTACTGGAAGTTTCTGAAAATGTACTCCCATGACTATTTGTTTTGTTTTTTAAGATGATGTTTCATTCATTTGTTCATTTTTGCAACCAACAATAATTTAGTTTTTGTTTTTTATTTCTATACTAACTCATTTGCGATCTTTGAGAACTCCAAATTAAGAATATAGATACGTTTTCTTTTAGAAATGAAAGGGAATGAGAAAATACGTGTTTGGGAGTGAAATGAAGAATTGTTTAATTGTATAATGGTTATGCTGGGCAACATTTTTGTTATTATTGAATGCCTGGGCAACTCCATTTGTTTCAGTGGGCTCACGTAGAAAAAAGCTCTTAACAGATTTTACATAGTGAAGGATAAAGCCTATCAGCAAATTTCACCCTTAAAATTGTTGACTTTTTAGGCCAGTGATTTCCAAACTTGGCAACTTAAAACTGATGGACTTCAACTCCCAGAATTCCTCAGCCAGTTTGGTGGCCCCTACTTTAGGCCAAGGTTTTAACTCTTTTGAGTATTTTCTCTTATATGGCCTAGCATTCTTCCTAATCTCAAACATCCAGTTGAATAAAAATGACATTGAGAAAAATTGTCCTGTAACCAAGCATTTATTTACCATACTGAACGTGGCATTCAACTTGTTTTTCCAATCAGTATTGATATTACAGATTGAACTTTTCTTCTTTGTTTTCTGTTTAGGTTTTAATGTTGGCAGGAGTGCTGGTGGCAGATCAACTGTCAGGGAAATCAATCGTGATGCCTGTCATTTCCCGGGCTTCCCAGTTCTTCAGTCATTTCTTCCTAAGCACACAAATGTGCCTGCATTGTATTTCCTTCTCATGGCGCTTTTCCTACAGCAGCCAGTCGCTGAACTGCCTGAAAATCTGCAACTCAGCACACCTGTCCCCGTTAGTCGGGGCAACCAAGGTGGCCAGGTAGGAACTATGGAGCAAAATACCTACTGGATTCAATGAGATGTGAGACGACTGGTAAAAGCGAGCGTTCAAATAAACTGAATTGAACTTTATTTGGGCCAAGGGTGATTTGACACACAAGGAATTTGTCTCCAGTACAAAAGCACTTGGGATACATGCACAGCAACAGAATCATCATCATCATCATCATCATCCCAATAAAAGGGGGGAGTAAAGAAGATAATAAGAAGGATAAATAATACTACAGCTACACTACATGAGTGCATACATAGACATTAGACAATACTGTGAGGATTAGGTGTTCAACAGAGTGATGGTGCAGATACCCATTTAACCTAAATCTTCCACAATCTTTAGGCAGATGCAATATGTGTGCTTCCTTGACCAACTGTCTTTTTGGGGTTGGAAGTATCTATTTTTAAACCTTGTTGAATAAATAAGACATGATGAAGTGCTTAATAGAAATTGGTACAGATTCTGGTGGAGTTAAGTGAGCATTGGTTGATTTATACAAATAACTCTGAACTACCAAGAGGTAGAAAGGCAAGTTTTTCATTGCAATAATTTGCAGATTGCTTATAAATGAACACAAAATAATGTATTTGTATTTTTTTTCTCTCCTTCCCTGCTGAAGTTTGACTTAGATTCAATTTGGACATTCATATTTGGTGTTCCTGCATCAAGTGGCACCGTGGTTGCTTCAATTCACTGTGTTTGCACAGAAGCTGCCTTTTTACTGCTGGGAATGCTTAGGAGCATGCTAAATTCAGTAAGTACAGCATCTCTCTGAAGGCCCATGAGAAGCTGAGATATTTCACCTGTTCATTTTATCATTTTGTTGGTAAAACGTTTAAGAAAAGATTACTTGAAATTCTAAGGTAGAATCTTGTATAAACAAATGTTGGAAACACATTTTAAACGCCAACAAAATTCTATCCTTACTTGTTGGCAGTAGTTGCTTTTGTGATGCCATTAATAGATGCAATATGTTAGGCCATAGGATTGGGTGTCCAACCTTGGCAATGTTAAGACTTGTGGACTTCAGCCAGCATTCTGGATCTGCAGTTCACAGATCTTAAAGTTGCCAAGGTTGGACACCTCTTTTTATGCAATAAAAGTAAAAACAAGAGAGCTTCACATGTTAAAAGTATTGGTCTAGGATAGAGGAGAATAAGGTTTAGTCTACCTTCAGCCGTTCATTGATTTTATTTCTTCCAACTTGACTCACAAGAAAAAGTTGATTATTATTTTTTTGCTCATGGATGGATGGATGGACAGACAGATGTAAATATAAGTGGCTTCCCTTTCTTTCAAAAAAACTACAACACTTTAAACAAGTGATTGTCATATCTTTCTACCTATTCGCCACCCGAAGTGTTTCCTTGACTTCATCTGTGTTTAATAGTAATAATTAAATTTGTCGATACGGACAATTAATTAATAAAGTATTATTGCACTGTATTATATTATTAATAATTAACTTTTATTAGATGATTTTCTTTAGGTAACATACGCATGACATCATAGTCTATCAAATTAAATATCCAGAGTCTAGAAAACTAAAGCACTGCTCGATAAAGCCAACATAAATAAGTGTTTCGCTGGGTATTATTGAGGTTTTGTTGCAAAATAGAAGCAGATTTGTGCTTAGAGAAGTGGTATACATTAAGAAAAAGACACTTATGAAAGAAACAATGCTAACAAGAAACCAGTTATACTAGTTTGATGTAATGGTTAAGGTGCTGGCCTAGAAACCAGGCGACTGAGTTCTGGTCTTGCTGTAGGCTTGAAAGACTGGCTGGGTGACTTTGGGCCAGTTACTCTCTGTCTCTCTCAGCCCAACTCACTTTGCAAGGTTGTTGCTGTGGGAAAAATAGGAGGAGGAAGAAATATTTGGCATGTTCTCTTCCTTGAATTGTGTTTTTTTTTAAATAAAGATAGGATGAAAATCTAAAATAAAAAAAAGTTATCCACCCATGCATACCTAGTGAAAACTAAATTGTTGGCTTCTGCACATGAGTAAATATGAAGCTACCGGATGGCCTTGGTCCAAGCTAATTTTCTTTATATTGTATACCACAGTTAATAAAACATGTGATGTCACATATTGACATACACCTCTCTCTCTCTCTCTCCCTCCCTCTCTCTTTTCCTCCCTCCCTCCCTCCCTCTCTCTCTCTCTCCTTCCCTCCCTCCCTCTCCCTCCCTCCCTCTCTCTCTCTCCCTCCCACCCTTCCACCCTCCCCCTCCCACCCAATGCTGTATTAATAACACGTAGGGTTAATTCCTCAATAAATTTTACTGTTAGAGATGCAACTCTAGCCAGTACATTGTGTCTTAACTTATGCAGTTCTGCTTTAGCTAATGCACCACATTGTTATTTCACATTATTTTATCTTTGAAACGAATAAAGTTTCTAATGTTTCCTTGCCCTGCAGCCTTGGCAGTCAGAGGAAGAAGGTTCTTGGCTCCGCGAATATCCCGTCACTTTGATGCAGTTTTTTCGATACCTGTACCATAATGTCCCAGATTTAGCTTCAATGTGGATGAGCCCAGATTTTCTTTGTGCGCTGGCAGCTACCGTGTTCCCTTTCAACATTCGGCCATATTCAGAAATGGTAGGAAACACAAGAACTCCTTCCCTTTAAAAAACAAAACAAAACCCAAAACCTCCAATTATATGGTCTGGAAATTGATTTGAGCATTTAATTAGCAAACATAAATAGAATTGAATAGAAAGATTCATCCACAGGTAAGTTACTGAGAGCCGTCTGTGCTGTAAGTACCAGCTGACTATTCATGCAAAAGATGATTTCTGATTTTTGAAACCTGTTTAGTGTTATGGTTGCCCCAAAAAATGCCCAATTCCGCATTAAGTCTTACATGAGGAAAAACTTGAAATTTTTGCAAGCCACAATCAGCTGGATAAGGTCTCAGTATTAGAGTATTATGCACATTTGTGTTGAAGAGGCTAAAGGGAAGAAAAACATTATTTTCACCACTGTTGGGAAGCCTTTGAGAGCTTTACGAAATCTCATACACGGATTAATACCGTCAGATTCAAGAGGCTTTGCAGCTCTCACAAGGGAATTAGCACTTGATACGACTTTAACCTCTGAGAGTGAAGGTTTAAGCCACACATCGTCAACTTTTTACTCTCTCTTTTTTTTTTTTGCACCGTATTGACAACAGTTGCTGAACATTCTGGGTGGAAAATTATACTGCTTTCATTATGTCCTTTCCAGTATCTTCTTAGCTCGTAATTAGGAATTTAATCTGCTTATTATCATAGTTAAATTTTGTTTAATAGAATATTTTGCCTGGATACATTTCTACTTAGTCTCTTTCTGTCTTTATCACATTCTCAGCAGGTACCTTTTTAGAGGCATGGTTTTTATGATATAAAATTTTCCCATTTGGCCAAACCCAAATTTAAAGTCACTCTACCGTGCTTCATGTCTCTGTATGGGAGGAGGAAGGACAGAGCAGTTGTCTAAATCCTTTGTGACAATAGACAGCTTGTAGGCCTCCTTAGCACCATCTGTTGTTCTAGCCCATGATGGCGAACCTATGCCATGCGTGCCACATTGGTGCCGGCACGCGAGCTGCAGGCAAACTTACCTCACTGCGCATGCGTGTGCCTCACAGCTGATGTAATACCGGAAGTGACGAAACGGGCATATTGTTCAGCCTGAAAAGCCTTGCAGAGGCTTTTCCCAAGCCACTGGGAGGCCGAAAAAGCCCTCAAACCAGCTGAAACGTCAGCTGTGAGGCACAGTGCAGGTAAGGGGGTGGGGGGCACATTGCATTCTGGGCGCTGGCACACGAGTGCGCACGTGCTAATACGCGCACAATTTTTGGCACAGGAGCCCAGAAAGGTTAGCCACCAGTGTTCTAGGCTCAATGACGGAGTGTGTGTGTTTTTTTGCTGTATCATATTTACTTGACCATAGGATGCCTCTGGCTTCTAAGAACATATGTACTTGCATTGTAGTACATAAATCAAGACTAGCTTCTGATGCACGTTAGGAGAAATTATAAGACAGCTAGTTCTTGACTTATGACCACAACTTGGACCAGAATTTCCATTTGCTATGAAAAAGCGGTTGTTAAGTGAATTGTGCCCCTTTTTTTTTTTCAACTTTCCAACAGCTGGGAATTCTCATGTCCACCTTTCAAGTATTTTTGCAGGGTTGTCTGTGTTTAACGTCCAAGATCATCCTAGATTAGTTAAGTGCTGCTGCAGAATTAGTCCTCAACTTACAACCATAATTGGGCGCAACGTTTCCTTTGCTAAGAGAGGCAGTTCAGTTGCTAAGAGACAAATTTATTTTAGTGAGTTCTGCTCTTGCCATTCCTAAACAGCTGTTACGACACAACTGAGACCAACATTTCTATGGCTAAGCAAAATAGTTGTTAAGAGAGGTTTGCCCCATTTTACGACTTTTCTTCCCACAGTTGCTAAGTGAATCATAGCAGCTGTTAAGTTAGTAACACGATTGTTAAGCAAATCCAACTTTCCCATTGACTTTGCTTGTAAGATGGTCACAAAAGATGATTGCATTCCGGGACACTGCAACCGTCATAAATATGAGTAGTTGCCAAGCATCTGAGTTTTGATCGCGTGACCATGGGGATGCTGCAATGGTCATAAGTGTGAAAAAAAATGGTCATACGTCACTTTTTTTCAGCGGCGTTATAATTTCAAACAGCCACTAAACAAATGGTTGTTAAGTCAAGAACTATCTATACACACTGAGATGCTAAAATGAGTAACTGCAATCCATCGTACTCTGTTGTCCAGAATTAACAACTGATACACAGATGACTGATTCCTTTTTCAAAAACAGGTTACTGATTTAGATGATGATGCCGGATCTCCAGCTGAAGAGTTCAAAGCATTTGCCTCTGATACAGGGATGAATCGGAGCCAATCAGAGTATTGCAACGTTGGGTCTAAGACTTTTTTAACCAACCATCCTGCCAAGAAATTTGTGTTCGACTTTATGCGTGTGCTGATAATAGATAATCTCTGCCTTACACCTGCAAGCAAGCAAACTCCTTTAATAGACCTTCTTCTGGAGGTAAATTTAGTATTTTATCGTTGCTTTTTAAAGCAAAAAGAGAAGTTACACTGGATATTTTCAACATTCTGTTGCTACCGTAGTTAATGGGCTTTGCATACGGTGGTGCAGTGGTTAGAATGCAGTACTGCACGCTACTTCTGCTGACCGCCGCCTGCCAGCAGTTCAGAAGTTCGAGTCTCATTAGCTCATGGTTGACTCAGCCTTTCATCCTTCCACAGTCGGTAAAATGAGGACCCAGATTGTTGGGGGCAATGTGCTGACACTGTAAACCACTTAGAGAGGGCTGTAAAGCACTGTGAAGTGGTATTTTACTGTAAGAGCTATTGCTATTGTTATCACAGTAATTCTCAACCTGTGGTCCACAGACCCCTGGAGGGCCCGCGATGTTGTAACGGGGTCTGTGAAGACTTGAAGAAATATTACGATTTAGATCTTCAGTTAAGTCTTGGGGGTCTGTGGCCACAAAAGGTATTTAAATGGGGTCCGTGATGAAGAAAAGATTGAGAACCACTAGCATATCAGAATAATTTTGAGAGTCTTGCAGTGCTTTGCACCTTAAGAAGCACTAGCAATAGCATTTAGACTTATATACAGAGTCAGCCTCTTGCCCCCAACAATCTGGGTCCCCATTTCACCGACCTCGGAAGGATGCAAGGCTGAGTCCACCTTGAGCCTGGTGAGATTCAAACTGCCAAATTGCAGGCAGCCGGCAGGCAGCAGAAGTAGCCTGTAGTACCGCATTCTAACCACTGCGCCATCGCTGCTCTAGAAGGCTAGTTGGTTTCACTCCATCTCCTCAGAAAGATTTTTCTGCCCAAAACATAAGGGCAGTCCTATCTGTATATCCCATTTCTAATTTTGTAGCTACAGTACCTTCTAATTAGGAAAAAAAAGGAAAACTTATTAAAGAATCATTTTTCCACATTTGTCAGCTTGTCTTTCCCCTTTAACTCGCTGAGGTGGGAAGCCGCTCAGAAAAGTGACAGACACAACTGGGGTGAGGATAATGTACCAAAAAATCTTCTCCCCTGCTCTTTGTCGCAATTCCTACTTGTTAGGGAAAAGTTTTACAGAAGGAAACCAGAAAACCGTTACGAATGTTATGGGTGGGAAGGCCATTTTAAGTAAGGAAGATAGAAGTTTGGAGATAGATGCCACAGTTACAATGATCACAGGGCTTTTGGCTGCAAGAATGCAAAGGAGCCCTGCACTTAGCAAAGATATTAGTTGTGTCTCCCAGTACTGTTACCTGGGAGCAATATAAATCAAACTAGATTGGAATGTAGCATCTGATAGTACAGTGGAATCAGTGGTGGGTTTCAGTAAAAATTCCTACCGGTTTGGAGAGCTCGCTTCGTGCAGCAATCCACTCTGCCATGTGAACAAGCTGAGCTAATAAACAAAGGAATATAGGAGAGGTAAGAGTGGGGGCAGGTGGGTGGGACCAGCCAGAGGTGGAATTTGCTGGTTCTCCCCACCAGTCAAAATTTTTGCTACTGATCCGCCAGAACCAGCCCAAGCCAGCTGAATACCACCTCTGAGTGGGATAACCTTACTGTGATCTGACCCAATGCCTTCCTTTAAAACTACATTTCTATAAAGGCTTCAAGCCCCTTTTCTTCTACTGATTTAGTATCTTCTAATATAAATTATGCCCTTTATCATACTCACGTAGTGTCTTCTTTTACACCAAGGAATGAGTAACCATCTGGTTTCTATTATCTACCTCTTTCCCCATCAAGATCCACAGGCTTTTTTTTTTTCATTTCTTTGCTCTGTTTAAGAAAGAGGAGAGAATTTTTTGCCTTCTACATTGGCAATGGAAAGGGAATTGCGTTCTCAAGTGATTTATATTCACTTCGCCTACAGTGGAAGATATTCTGCTGAAAGCTGTCTTAAAGAACTGGGCTTTTTTGACTTGTGGACTTCAACTCCCAGAATTCCTGAGCCAGCCATGCTGGTCAGGAATTCTGGGAGTTAAGGCCTGCAAGTCATAAAGGGCCATAGTTTTCCACCTCTGGTTTAGAATAACCTAACCTCTCCCCTCAATAAATTAAAGATAACGTATCATAGAAAATTATAATCAGTTTTATTTTTGTTGCACAGTAGAATTTTTTTTTCATGGAAATATGTAAAAGATATATGGGCTTCCCATTAGTTTATACTCGATATATGGGCTTCCCATTAGTTTATACTCAGGTCATTGTTAATTTCTGAGGGAAAGAATTAAGACTAACACATTAATACTTTATTATTCACCTTTACACTAAATACATTGAATGAAAAGTTTTATTTGTGCCAAGTGCCAGACAGTCCAATGTGTAATGCGTCTTAAATTTCCCAGAGTTCATAGTAACATTTCAGAATAGCTTTCTCTGATGACATCTTATTATCCTTATTCTGCATTTCTAGGCATCTCCAGAAAGATCAACAAGAGCCCAACAAAAAGAATTTCAGACTTATATTTTGGATAGTGTTATGGACCACTTGCTTGCCGCTGATGTGTTATTGGGTAAACATTTGTTATAACCTTCTTCAAATCCTCAAAAGAACACAACTGATGAATTGCTGTAAATGCAAAATGTTGTTTCTACACATCAATTAAAAATTACGAATTACTTTAGTTGAGAATGATCCATTGAAATAAGAGCAGTTGTTCTGATACTGCATAATGATACTGTGTAATGTATAATGATATTTCAAAGAAGAAATTATTTTCTGATCTTGATGTTAGTTGTATGGAATGTCCTTATATGCTCTGTCCCATGGATGGTGGAATTGGAGTATTATTATTTTTTGTATGTATTCATTTTGGGAATGAAATTCTTCTGCTGTTTTCCTTGTTATAGGTGAGGATGCATCTTTGCCTATCACCAGTGGAGGAAGCTACCAGGTGCTTGTAAACAATGTATTCTATTTCACGCAGCGTGTGGTAGATAAACTTTGGCAAGGGATGTTCAACAAGGAATCGAAGTTGCTTATAGATTTCACACTCCAATTAATTGCACAGGTATGCTCACATGATTTTGTATTTAAAGAAAAGTTCCATTGGCTATGTAGACAGACAATATTTCCTATACTTGTTTTTCTTTAAATATTTCTTTCCATAAAAACATTTAGTAAAGATGGAAATACGTATGGATTTTATGGTTTCCCTTTCTCATACTTCATTGAATCAAAGTTATAGTGGGCCAATTGCTTGTTCACAACTTGGAGATGATCTCCTGTTAAACCAGTTTTCTCCTCCTTGCTCGTTGTATTGGCACAAACAGCAGCTTCTGTTGTTGAAGTCAGATCTTATATCTGGCAATCACATTAGAGCAACGGGGCAACTATTTCCCAACCTTCAAAGCTTCCAAACAGTTGTGCCTTTGTTCAGTAGATGGGCTGAAGGGGAAAAATGAGTCCTGCAGATCTATCAAAAGCTTCATCGTATTTTAACTTGGTTTTTTTTTTGCTTTCACAGGAAAGAGTGAAAATTGGATTTTGCTATTTGATGAATACTTTTAATAACAAGGGGCAGTGTTAGCAATGACTTAGGCTAATTTCCAAGATAATGGAACCTTCTCATTTAGCAGAGAAAAATCATTGCTGAAAATCTGCTTAAAAGCGTAGAAATAAAAGTATACGGTACTGTTATGATTTCTCTCTTTTTAAAATTTTATTTTGTGTGCTGCTGTTGTTGTTTTTAAAGTCAAAAAGAAGATCTCAAGGATTATCCCTGGATGCTATTTATCACTGCCTGAACAGGACCATCTTGTACCAATTCTCAAGACCACATAAAACGGTTCCCCAGCAAGTTGCTCTTCTCGATTCCCTAAGGATGCTTACTGTGAACCGAAGCCTGATCCTGGGTCCCGCAAATCACGACCAAGAATTCATCAGCTGTCTGGCTCATTGCTTGATTAATCTTTATGCAGGAAGGTAAGTGTCCCAGAGTGTATGCTTTCCACGTTTGTTGATTTGATAAATGGTTTGTTTTGTGTAATCATCAGGATGATTAACATTAAGTTTCTTTTTATAGGTGTGATTTATAAAACATAGCTCATATTTCTGATATTTAGGAAGGCAAAGTAGAATAACCAATTCCTTGTAGAAATAGAGCTTTAATGCTGGAGAAACTGGATATCGACACTAAAAAAGACAATGACAAGCAGATTTGAAGGGCTTTTTATATGTATGAAGTGTTACCAGTTTAGATGCAGTTTTTCTTGTACCCCTGAATTGCTTCAGATACCAGCTTCTACTCATAAATATTGAAATAATGAAGATGTATTGAGTTTGCACGAGTGACAGGACTTCTGATCATAATTTGTCGAAGAAGCACGTTCATAATTCTTTTTCGTCTGCTTCATCTATAAACAGCTTAAGAAGAAAGGTGTTCACCTGATACAAACAGTCCTTTCTTGGTCTTGCTTTAGAGAAGCTAATTTGCAAAAATGAATCTTGATCGTTGCTTGGAATTTATAACTGCCACAACTTTTGCCAATTAAATCTATCAATTTTTCATAATCAGGCTCACTTTTTGTACATTACTTTCCCCATGACACACTAGGCTTTTTTTTTTTTTTTGCTTGAACATTAGGACCTTGTGTGGGAGGCATTTAAATAATGAGAACTCCCATCTGTTGGCTGAAGTAGCAGCATTATAAATTTGTACTATATAATTGACCTTTACCTCACTCAAGTGAGAATGAAAAGACGCAGAGCGTTCTGATATTCCATATGCTTTCTTTCTAGAAATTGTGATACAAGAAGTCCTCATTCAACAACAGTAATTGGGAGCAGAATTTCTGTCGCTAAGCAACATGATTGTCATGTGACCATGCTGCTTAGCAACAGCAGTTACAACCATTCCCTGTTGCTACTATTAAGCAAAGGACCACAGGTCATTGAACAAGGACTTCATACAACTTCTGTTCAGCTTCCCCATTGACTATGTTTGTGGAAATCCAGCAAGGAACGTTGCAAATCACAATCATGTGTCCGTGGGATGCTGCAACAGTCAGAAACCCAGCTTGGTTGCCAAGTCCCAGATTGCAATCATGGGACCACTGGACAATGCAACAGCTGGAACCTCAAGGACCAGTTGTAAGCACCACTTGTTCAGCACCAACATAAGTTCCAATGTTCACTGAAGAAGTGGTTGTTACCCAAATATTACCTGTAGTTTATTTTCATTTTTATTTCACAAAACAAAGGCAAATACAAAAACATATAAAGAAAAAGAAAAAAAGTTTTCACATGTTTGCGATCAATTTTTACACACTTCATTTTTAAACCAAGGACCCCGTTTATTTATTTAGCGTACGGCAAATACATGGACTTATAGCAGTTCAAATGTTAAAGCTCTTGATGGACATTCAGACACAATGTGATGGATATTTTGTCGAGTCACAATGAGGGGTAGAGACAAGACCCCACTTAAACAATGAGTCCTAGCAGACACTATGTTGGGTACGGATCCTGTTCAGAGTTGACCAATGCTGGCAGGTTAAAACCTGACACCATTTGTGCAAGGTCATGTGCCTGGCGTTCAGCAGCCCATTTGGCTTTCCACTGTGTGTTGACGTCCAAGTTGTTAGACAGCTGTTGCGCAAGTTGTCAGTTTGTTGTACTCCTTCACTAAGGCTTCCTGCCTTTGTAGAGCTGGTAGTACAATGTATTTAGAGAGTTCTACAAAGATTACAGGACCCCCTGTAATTTAATGCTGTGCTAATAGCTACATAAAAACACAGAAGGATCTTTCTTCAACTTTACCTACATAATTCTGAAGTGTATTTTTTTTTCCTTCTTCCAGCCTAGGAAACGTAGCTTATAATGAAATATTAGTTGAAAGGGATGCCCTAACACATGCGATAAACTGCTTCTTTGCCTTTTTAATAAATGTAATGTTTCCTGCAGGTGCTAATTCCACAGCTAATTTTTGGGAGGTAATATTACAGATAATTCAGAACCTTTTGTATTCATACATAACAATAATTTGTTTGGTCTTGTGGTTGGTAAGGCAGTTTGGTTTAGTGGTTAAGACACCTGGCTAGAAAATTGGAAATGCTGAATTCTAGGCCCGCCTTAGCCATAAAAGCCAACTGAATGACTTTGGGCCAGTCACTCTATTTCACAGGGTTGTTGTGGAGAAAAGAAGAAGAGTAAGGTGTGTTGGATACGTTCACTGCTTTGAATTTTGTAAAAATGATAAAGGTGGGATACAAATGAATAAAATAAATAACATTTAATCACAATTTGAAAATAGAACACCTTGTGATACAATAGTAACCTGCCTCTCCAATCTCCGTAGCATATCAGTGTTATATTTTTAATTTAGCACTGGCCCACATGAGGCATTGCTTGGCTGTTGCCTTTTAATGATTCTATCCTGTTCACTATTGCACCTTTTTCACTATGAGCTTCTTGAGACGCTCAGAAAATAAGATGTGTATATTTATAAATGCAGAAACCTGTCTATTTATATCAGGACCAGCTTTCCTTCCCCCCCACAGCTTTTCTAAAGCAAATATCCCTCCTTCACATCTAACCTTATTGGATGATGTTTACAGCAGCGTTGAGGGTTTTGGCCTGGAAGCAGAGGCCAGAATGACCACATGGCACATCATGATACCTTCTGACGTGGAGCCCGATGGAGTCTACAGTCAAGATGTCGGGGAAGGTAACGATACGCCGTGAAGCATTTTAGCATGTTAGGCTGAAATACGGGTCAAATGTTGCTTGTTGTGCTTCTCCCCTTTTCCTATCCTTTCCCTGATCTTTTAGGGCAGGGGTGTCAAACTCAAGGCCCACAGGCCGCATCCAACCTGTGGGGTGCTTAGACCTGGCCCGTGGGGGCCACCCTGGAAACAGCAAATGACTGGCCTGTGGTGCCTGTGCCAGTGAAAACAGAGCTCGGGTGACCGCGTGTGCCACCCCCCCACAAAAAAATCTCCATTTTCAGTGGCAGAAGTCTACCAAAACAAACTAAAAACAAAACAAAAGGAGAAATGTTCCCCCTTTTGCATTTGAGCAGGGACAGGAAAGGACAAAGGGAAAGAGGAAAGGACAAAGAAAAAGATGGGAAGATGGGAAGAGAGCAAGGAAGGAGAAATAAGGAAAGAGAAGAAGGAAGAAGAAAGGAGAATGAAGGAAATAGAAGGAAAGGGAGAGAGGGAGATTATAATGAGAGGGAGGGAGGGTGTGAGAAAGTCCTGCCTTAACACTTGGCCCCCCGAAATGATTGACATTGAGCTGGCCACACCCACCACGTACGTACGTATGTACGTCCCCGTCTCCCCCCGGAGGTCAAACACAACCCTGATGTGGCCCTCAATGAAATCAAGTGTGACACCCCTGTGTTAGAGAGTCAGTGGGCCATGAAGAACACATTGGAAATGCTAAGCAGACTTCAGCTCAGCAGATTGAAGTGTAGGCTGGAAGAGGCCTGATTGACAGCAAGCAGTTTGAGAGTGTAAGGTGGGGAATTAAAGTGATGATAGGCTGCGTATCCACTTTAAATAGACCCTGCTAAGCTGCAGTCAGGAATGCATTAGAATTAGACGTAAATCTCTGTCGCTCAGCGGAATCTGTAGAAGCAGCAAACAAACAAGAGAGAGTGAACAATAACATTTTAGCTGCTGCTAGACACGTGGAAAATTCAGCGCCGACAGATGGCTGATCAGAGACATAATTCCATACTTAGGATTATTATGGGCTGTGCTGGCACAGTGGTTAGAAGGCAGTATTGCAGGCTAATTCTGCCGACTGCCAGCAGTTCGATCCTGACTGGCTCCAGGTTGATTCAGCCTTCCAGCCTTCCGAGGTGGGTAAATGAGGACCCAGATTGTTGGGAGGGTAGTATGTAAACCACTTAGAGAGGGCTGTAAAGCACTGTGAAGCGATATACTCTCTCTCTCTCTCTCTCTCTCTCTCTCTCTCTCTCTCTCTCTCTCTCTCTCTCTCTCTCTCTCTCTCTCTCTCTCTCCCCCCCCCCCTCTCTCTCTCT